TTCGACTCATTGTCATGCTTTGTAATACATTGACATCTTTCCCTATGTGTTGAAAGAATTTTAAAATTTCTGGCGCAGTTTGAAGCGAAATATTGTGTTCGGCAATGAAAGCAGCGAATTTAATTTCCGCTGCTTTCTTTCGCTCAAATGATAAAGTTTCGTCTGTCATAGTTACATCTTCATCTGTTTGTTTTTTTTCAACATTTTGTTCGTTAGTTACATGTGCTGCGGATTCTGCGTGCTCATAAACATTTGACGATCTTGCTGACATAGATTTGTCACAAAATGAGCAGAAAAATAATTTATTGTTATGCGATACTTCGCATAACCATGGTTGAAATTGCTTTATTTTTAACCATTGTTTTTGAAAGTTATATGTATCCGAAGTATTTGGTTTACTATTCACATCATTATTTTTGAAGGAAACACATGTGTTTTCTTTAATATTATTTTTATGACACGAAGAATCCGCATGTCTTGAAATGCGCGTGTTACAAGAAAAATCTTTATTGCATATAGTGCAATGAAAAAAACTATCATTTGTCGGTACTTTCCGTATTCAAGATTTATATCGGTTATCCTTAAGCCAAGCTTCTAAAAAACTTCTCTTTGATTTTTTTGTGAATCGCACATTTTAGTATACGACAAAAGGACAAAAAACAAAAACTTAAATTAGAAGACAATGAAAAGAAAAAATATACAGTAAGTTTAATGACTTACTTCGAAATCAGGTTTCTGACTGACGTTACCACTAAATTGAGCGAGTTAAACATACACAGAATATATGTTGACTAGCAAGAAAATCACGTAGTGATTTCAATCAATCTAGTAATACAAGTATCACAGATTGATATCACAGATATTAACAATAAATATCACAGATATAAGTGATATATAAAATAAGCACCAATAAGCCACAACTCTTCACTGCTCAATACATCACACAATACACGATATACGCAATAATCAGAAAACTACGAATGCAGCGCACAGGGTGGCGGCATACGCGAGTTTTTATTGTTTCGTATAAGTCGCGCCCGCGTCGCACTTGTCATTTTTTAGTTAGAAAGACAAAACCGAGCGCAGCGCTGAAGAAAAGTGACAGGCCACGCTATGGAAGACGATATGTCCCGTAAGTAATAAGTACAATTATTATTTTTTTTATAGTAAATTGGATGACTAAGTTATTCTAAAATCTAAGCAAAAGAAATATATAAGCAAATATTTCGTATATGAGCAAATATCTCAGATATTTTTGCTGTGTACATTGTGCGCTACATGTGTTAATATGAACGTTGTTTGTTTTCATACATATTGCATATGCTGTATTGTGTAGTAAAAAGTAGTTTTCAGTAACTTTGTCATCGATTGTTGTCTTAGGAGAATGCATTCATATAAAGCAATTTGACAGTTGTACATTAGTATATCGTAGATGCTTTCTAGCTACACAAACGACACTGAAAATATCAGCATGAGTTAGATGCAACAAATCTGGGAACAAATGAATAGATCTTACCTACGTAAATAGCAAGTTGACTACAGTATATTATAGAAAAGAATTGATAATTATTTGTCAGATAATTTAAACTTATTAGAAGAAGAGAAATCTATAAAAAAATTGAAGTCAATATAATAAGTAAAAATTAAAATACGGCAAACATTAAAAACATACTCAATAAAAAATAGAATGTATAACAGACTAAAAAACCTATTAAGAATAACTTGATATACTGACACGGGGTGCTTTCCAGCTACAGTTACAGTGTCTATTAGTGTGAGAAANAGCATATCAGTGTGTCTCATGACACTGTGTTACACATTGTCTACTAGTGCAAATAGACACACTGATATGCTTTTTCTCACACTAATAGACACTGTAACTGTAGTTGGAAAGCACCCCGTGTCAGTATATCAATTTATTCTTAGTAGGCTTTTTAGTCTGTTATACATTCTATTTTTTATTGAGTATGTTTAATGTTTGCCGCGTATTTTAATTTTTACTTACTATATTGACTTCACTTTTCTTATAGATTTCCCTTCTTTAATAAGTTTATATTATCTGACAAATAATTATCAATTCTTTTCTATTATATACTGTAGTCACCTTGCTATTTATGTAGGTAAGATCTATTCATTTGTTTCCAGATTTGTTGCATCTACCTCATGCTAATATTTTCTTTGATTGGCTTTATGTAATAAATTATAAAATATATGTAAATTGTTTTTCTACAGAAGCATCATTGCAGCAAATGTTGCAACAAATTGTTGCAACGCAACAACAGTTGCAACAACAATTGTTGCAACTGCAACAGCAGCAGCAGCAACAAGTGTTGCAACAACAGCACCAGAACAGCAGCTTCAACAACAGCAGCATAAACTGCAGCACCAACAACAGCAGCAGCACTACCAACAGCAGCAGCAGCAGAACAATGTGACGAGTAAGTTATTTTTTTAATATACCTGTATAATATGATTAACTGAATATAATAATTAGAAATCANTTTTTATTAATAATTCTTGTTTTCGGAAAACACAGAAAAGGAGCTGGGTGCAGCAGGGCCCGCTGGTACCTCCAGCGAGGCGGTCGAGGCAGTGCCAGCGGGCCATATAGAAGAGGAGGGCCGCGGGGAAGAGGAGGGCCGCCAGGAAAAGGAGGGCCGCCAGGAAGAGCAGTTCAAAGGGCAACAATTATTCAGTATTATATTAATAATTATAATATATATTGTGACGTTTTTCTGGATGATAACGAAAATTCCCGCGTCGTCCCGCCCGAAACGGAAAGATACGAGATCGGGACACGAACGGAAGTCCGCGAGATAGGAAACGTCTCGACAGGCAGGAAAGAAAAAGGTGTTAAACCGAGCAACCACT